TCTTTTGTTGCAACCTTGTATGGTAGTATAAATGTAAATGTAGATCCATGGTGCTCTCGTCTGGAAACACTGAGATGACCTCCCGTGAGCTCAACCTATTTCATACGCATATGAATGTGAAGAGCAGTACATCAACTAAGATAGTTTATATCAAAGTGACAAAACAAAAATTCATGTCTCCATATGAAATGAAAGACAATTTCAACTTCAAGCTGCAGATAGACTGGAAATTCACATAGAAAATTCATATCAAATGAAGTGGTATGGATGGGCAATAGACTTGGAAAAAGTCCGAGGGGAGAAGAATCATTTAGAATGAGTTGCTCAATTTCAGTAATTTTAAATTTCTACTGGATTTCTTGCATGTAAATTACCTACTCTCGTATAAAAAGTGATTTAAATTGCGGTTTCTCACCACAGGGGTAGATATTTCAAGAACAAGATTAATGTGATTTAGTGGAAATGTCTAGCTATGAATATAATGCTTGTGGTTAATATAATTGAAACAGATATGCCTTCTAATGCCCATTTCACAGTACAACATGAACCCTGGTCTAGAAAAGTAAATAAAAATGAAAAAAAAAAATTTGTTTAAAATGATCACTAGTTGTTTGCATATTGCTAGGCCTAGCCCAGTCCCACCATTCTTTTGTGCTATGTCTGCACCTATTTGCATGTATTTCTTAAATAGAGTAGGCAAAGCATTCTCTGTTCCATTGAAATGAAAAGTGAGATTCTAAGAAATAACAGAAAAATAATTAATAATAGTCCGTACTCAATGTTTCAAAGCATATTTCAAGATGTGAAATTACCCGGTATTCTAATTCCCTGTATCATAAACATCGCAGCTTATCCATACTATTGTTTTATCTAGTTGAAAGTGATTCTCTTCACCTCCATCTATCAAGGCCCCATTTCTAACTAGGGTTTAGGGTTCGTCATGAAGTTTGCGATTTTTGCAAGGACCTTCCCCGTGTTTCTCTTCATCAAAACCTTTTTGATCACAGTAACTTTGATACAATGATACGCATTTATCTAGTTCGTGTACATTTACTGAAACTGTTGACCTGTCTGCAGTGATCTTCTAATTGGATCCCTCTTCTACAGCTGAAGATGGGGCTGGTACCACATAAAGCTTTATTCCAACCTTCCTTTCTTGGGTAAACTTAATTGCATTGCTAGAAAAATAAAAACTTATAAATTTGAAGCAGAACTAAATAATGCACGAAAGGTGCAACAAAACCAGAAAGCATGTTGCATATTCATTTTAGTTGTTACAAATGCTCATATTCACAGTGTTGTAAAGAGACACACTACTCATTGTTGATCATCCTAATCTAAAGTACTGGGAGAATTAGATTGGTGTTTCAATGTCATTGCATTTAAGAAAGCTACTTTTGTTAAATATCATGGATAAAGTAAAACATTCTCACCTCAAGAAAGGAATTATAATTTTCTTTTTAACTAAGGAAAAAATAATATACACCTTAATTTTACAAATCTTTCTATAACATCTATCACATAATTGTTCAAAGGAACAATTCCTTGGGGATCTTGACAAATATTTCACAAATCTGAGGAAAACAAACATCATGACCTCTGTTGTCTTTTATTGTGATACAATCACTTTATAATCATATCAAATAGGAATTTCTAGAGGAACAGCTATGGCAGCAGAATGTTACATATGGAGTATAATGTTGGACCAGCAAGTAGCAGAATGTGCACAAGGATTTAAACATAGCTAAAATCATCCATATAATCTACAAATGAGAATTTGAAACAAGACATTGGACATCACTTCTCTCTCCTTCCATGACTTGCTTCAAACAAGACATGAGCTCTTCTATAATCACAACCCCTTTCCCATCCTCCTTAGCTCTCATACCAACCTCCCATATCTCGTCTATAAACTTAGCATCGGTCAACAACTGGTCCAACCATTTGGGTAACCCAACCATTGGACATCAAATTTTATTTGTCCATCAAACCCATAAAACTAAAATCAAACCAATTTTGGACATGAAGAACAACATAATTTCATAGAAATCAAACAATTCAACCAAACCCATTTATGAAATCAACACAAAATAAAACTAAAAAGCCATATAAACCCTAGATAAAGTGTGAGAGATGGGGAAATAGGGGAAGAGAGAGAGAGAGAGAGAGAGAGAGAGAGAGAGAGAGATGGCTTGAGAGAGTGAGAGAGTCATAGAGTTTCTTTGTCCGTCAAACCCATGAAACTAAAATCAAACCAATTTTGGACATGAAGAATAACATAATTTCATAGACATCAAACAATTCAACCAAATCCATTTACAAAATCATAGCCCGACTTTCCGCGCTCCTTTCGGAAGACAACTTGCCCCTATAGTTCGGACTCCACTTGTGGTTCTGAATCTGATTTCACAAAGTGTAATGTGAAACAGTGAAAACATAAAAGAGTCCAAATCCAGCAATTCTTTTAGAAAATCGATGTTTGAATCAAATGCCAAAAATAGACTGCTTTGCCAGATTTCAGAGTTGCCACCTAAATATTTTTGGAAAATTTAAGAAACCCAAGACTCGTGCAAAAGGCCATTAGTCTATCATCACCAAAGTGTCTCGGCTCGAAAACTTAGGTACAAGAGGGAAAGGTCATGAATTCAGCACCCCACTCTCCTGATCAAAGATCGGCCTTTACTAATTATGATCTGTTCCTTATTTACATTATATGCTCTTGTTCTGATTTATTAGTTACATTACTATGTGATGCGTACACAAGGTATAGACTAGTTTGCGAGAATTGGAACACTTAATCTCATGTTTTGTTTTGAAATTGTTTTGTGAATTTGCCACTTAAAAAAAGTGGGCTAAAATGGACATTAATCAAGCCATCCCAGTTCAAGCAACTAGCCTTCATCCACAGGCATTCAAACAGTTATATCACTTAAGCACTTAGCCTCATGGTATTCATGCTTTGATATGGCAATACAAACATTTGATGTAAGATGCTAAAACATAAAATTTCTCACTTAGTACTCCGAGCCAAAACAAAGCCAAATAATTAGAAAAATATGCATGTTCCTAATTAATGCAATATGACTAATGCAACTCGCACATTATGTGTTTTTATAGACTCGGCTGTGAGCATGGTATATGATTCCATTCAAGACATGTGAGAGAGCACATATTCAAGTAATGAATTTTAAACATTTGATATCGAGTTAGCATGATGAGCCGAACCTTGGATGCATGTAAGACAATGGATGCAAAGCGTAAGAATGCTAATGAAACGTGATGTCCTATACTAACCATCATAAGCAAGTAAGTAAAAGGGAGAAAGACGTGGGGTTGGAAGACATACAACTTATTACAACATTGTCCCCATGCAAGAGGGTGCGAATCAAAGTCCGAATGTCCGAATTAAACTACTTATTACAAAACTGAATGAATAAATAAGCGAGGCTAATTAACTAGCTAACTATGCTATTACAACAAGGATAACCACAATAAACGAACTCGCTGTTTAAACTAATTAACTACAATAATTACAAAGGGACAATAATAATAATTACAACATTTAATAACTAGCGAGACTAATTATAATAAATAATATTAAATTAATTACAACAATGATCATAATGTAAGCAAGGATGCACAAGGATTGCATGCATGCACATGCACAATGTTCAAGAATAGCTCTGTCTACCCTAGGCTTGCTCTGTTTCACCTCAGCCACTGCCCTCTGTTTTTTGCAAAAATGCACTATCAACCAAACATTCAGGAATAGCCAGCCCTCAATGAAGCCTGGCCGGGCCTAAAGAAGATCGTTCGTGCCTCAATGTCATGAAAAATTTTGTTTTGTGCTCTGAAGTGAAAACAGTGCAGACAGAGTGTTCTAAACTTTGTTTGTCTCTTCTACTCTTCTCTCTCATGGTAAGCCTCAAGAGAAGAATGAAGTCATTTCCAAAACCATCAATGAGCAAATTGATTGCTTGATGAGTTAAGGCATGATTTTGGAAAAAAAATTAATGAATGTAATAAACAACAACCACCCCTCCCTCTTATCATAGAGTAAACTCAAAGAGGGAGGTAGATGTAATAACCCGACCCTCGTACATGTTCTCTGTTATATTTTCGGATCCTCTTTTATGATTTCGAATGCTTATTGTGAAATCCTATGAGGAATTAAAGTTAATTAAGTGAACCATATGTTTAAGGATGTCTATCTGTTCAACAAGAAAAGTATCTGTTACATTAGAAGGGTTAAATTAGAAATTGGAGGCATTAAGGGCTTAATTATCTGAAAATGATTTCATATATGTGATCAGCATAATTTTTATGTAATATTAGGCATTTTTGTGAAATTTCAATTTGGAATGCTTAAACGATTGAATTTCGTCCTTATTCACCTATATTTATATATGTATGCTTCCTCCTTAGACAATTGTTTTAGCCCTAGTGATTATCTCAAATATTGTTGGAAAGGAGAAACTAGAGAGGAAGGGGAAATCCTCAAGAAGAGAAGATTAGAATCTTGTGAGGGATTGTAAAATTCAAGATTCAAGGTATGTATGTTGCTAGAATTCCTCTCTTGTTGAGTTCTTTCTCAAATTATCTCTTTTTGAATGATTGGGTAAATTAGAGTGTGTAGAGATGAAAGCAAATTCCCCAATTGATTGATGTTTAATTGAGTTGCTTATGCACGTTGGTGGAGAGACTAGTTTTATGTCTTAATTACTCATGAAAGTCATGAAGAGTATAGATATCACTACAGGAAAGTGAGGATTTAACGGCGTTTAATTAACGACGTTTAATTAAACGTCACCTTTTTTTATAATTAACGGCGTTTTTTAAACGTCGCCTTTGTTATTAGGCAAAACGGTGCTGTTTTAAAAATAGAAGACCTTTAAAAAACGCCTCCAAAACCCTGTCTCTCTTTACACACTCTTCCCTGTCTCTCTTCACACCCTCTTCTATCTCTCTAAACTTTTATTTTGAAAACCCTACACTGCTGTCTGCTTCTCACTCATTCAAATCTCTCACTCACTCCTCTCTCTCTCTCTCTCTCTCTCTCTCACACACACAAATATCTCTCGATTCTTCAGTTCAGTTCAGTGATTCTTCTTCTTCAATTCTGGTGATTCATCTCGGGATTGCGATTTCGAAGTTCGATTTTGAGCATAGATCCGTGATTCATCTCCGTGGATTTGGAACTCTTCGTCTTCTTCGATCAGAGGTTAGTTGCTCTCTCTTTCTCTCACCCAAATCTCTCTCGATTCTTCTTCAGTTCAGTGATTCCTCTTCGATTCTTCTTCCATTGATGAATAACTTTTGTTATGGTGAAGGAAAAAATGTAGGTGAAACTTTAATTTATTGGTTCAAACATTAAAATATGCCCAATCTGGTCCTCCTCCTCCTCCTCGTCGTGTTCAAACGAACGACCTCCTAAAAAGAGGATCCTCCGACAACGTCCGTTTTCCGCTGAGAACTTCATTCGATGGTACGCACTGCCTTCCCTAAATCTTGGAGCATATTTTACAGCATCACCATTTCAGTTGCTACCTAAGAGAGAACGGGTTTTCAAAGTCATAAAATTTATTTTTCTCTTCAAGGTCAATGAATGCTCAAGAAGATGTTTAAGAGAAATAAAATGCACAAATTACAGTAATGATGCCTGGAATGTACTCCAATTTTAATACCTTTGTTGTGGTAATTTTTGAATATATATGAAATCTCATTGTTTTAGTTGTAGAATTGATTCACTGCTAAGAAACTGATCCATTAACAGGATAGGCATTAGTTGTGATCTGAGTTCTTATGATTTATTGTGTGTAATCTGTTGAAATTCCACTTGTTGAAATTCCACTTGTTGATAGTTAGTTACTTCTTGCTGCAGATTAAACTCTTCACAGATACAGAAATTTTTCGGTTAATGGGTAAGGTTAAACTGCTTATTGGTTGAGTACAATATGCTACTATTTATCTGACAGATAAATGTTATTCTTTACTGGAATACACTGAGAAGCTTATTTCGTTGGCTTATGTTGGCAAATTTTCTAGGTAAAGAACATGCACTTGTCGTATCAAATCACAAAAGCGACATTGATTGGCTTGTTGGATGGCTTTTGGCTCAGGTGCTTGTCTGACATGCAGTTTCTTTTATGCATGTGCATTCACAAGCAGAGACATGTATATGAATGCTTGTCTAACATGTAGTTTTCTTTTATACATGTGCCTTCACAAGCACAGACATGCATATGCACATTAGTTATGTTGGTAGACATATAGAGGCATACTCATGTTTGCAGATTAAACATATTTCTTTCGGCAAATGACAGTTTAAAATTTGCTATATTGTCTTATTTGGAATGCTTTTATTGTAATCTTTGCTTTATACTACGTTTCCACTTACAAAAAAAAAAGAAAAAAAAGAAATTATGATTTTCACTGATTATTTGTCAAAATTCCTTATAACAGCGATCAGGTTGCCTTGGTAGTGCATTAGCTGCAATGAAGAAATCATCAAAATTCCTTCCGGTAAGAATCTGAACTTGACATGTTCTCTAAATGTGGTTGAGGTGAAGCATTTTAAGTTAATTAGTTAAATTCAGATCATGCCAGTTCAGTTCTTGATGGAGTGGCCTTCTGTCTCAAAAGTTCAATGCATGTTAATTCGTGAATTTGGTGAATTCAGTGAAGGTTTATTGTGATCTGTATTTAAAATACATGAAATTATAACAAGTTTGGATCATTGCTCTATTGTCTCCTCTCCTCTATTTATGATTTATTACTGTTTACATGTCATGTCCCTTACTCATTATCATTTGCCTTGTCTTTTGAACACCTCAATACCTTCAAAGATATATTCGGAATGATAAAACTATATCCAACATATGCAGGTCATAGGTTGGTCTATGTGATTTTCTGAGTATCTATTTCTTGAAAGAAGCTGGGCTAAGGATGAAAGAACTTTAAAGGTATGGGTGTACTTAATACATTTCTGAACAAATGCTATGTGTTTGTAGGTTTGTGATGCTCGCTTTCAAGGGGCCTTAATTGATCTCATTCAAATCTTGTGGGATTGAATCTGCAGCCAGGTCTTCAGCAATTACAGGATTTTCCTCTGCCATTTTGGTTGGCACTTTTTGTAGAAGGAACTCGCTTTACACAGGCAAAGCTTGAAGCAGCTCAGGAGTATGCAGCTTCAGCAGGGTTGCCTGTTCCTAGAAATGTTTTGATTCCTCGTACCAAGGTAATACTTTCATTTCACCTCTTTATAAGGTAGAAGGCTGCATTTTCCCCTGATGTAATTTCCTGGTTCTCTTTGAATCCATTTTCTTTTGGCTAGTTTGTGAACAACTTCCTTCCCACTAAGTGTCTAAAATTTCTTCTATAAATATCCACATGCGTACCTGTTGATTGTGTGCAAAATTGTGCACTTTTGATTTTGGTTTGTGGCTAAATTTGGAGGCTTAAACCTTCTGAGCAAAGGGTTTTCCTATGTTATGGTTGGATTTCCATTTGTAGTACATAAAATATTGGAAGTAAATTTTCAATAAAATTAAATTATAAAATGTATACTCAAGATGAGGCTGTTATAAACTTTCCTTAGTTTTGCTACTACATGTTCCAATGTCTGTCTTTGTGTCTGATATTTTGCATGTTATTGGGTTTGACTTCTGTAACCTCTAAACTAGGTAGGTGTAAGTAACTTTTTTATGACATTGAGTGAAAAGTGTCATAATTAAATAAATTTTTATGGCATTTTGTGAAATGCGACTAAGCCAAAATCTTTTAAAACTATCTAATGGCATTTTTTTTAAAAAACAAAAAACACCAATATACCCCCAATTTTTTTTTTTCAAATGTATACAAAATAAATAAATAAATAAATTGAACTCAATATAACATGTTTTTTAACTCTACTGGCCACATGTACAAAATTGATCTCAATAGGCTTACCAATAGAATGTCATTTTAGAACTCTAATAAAGTTTTTTGTTATAGACCAATATGAATATATATGGAATTTATTATAATTTTTTAAAATATTTTATTATTTTAAATTTTGTGTGTAGCACAAGATTTTTGCAATTTGTAATTTTTTTTTTTTTTTTATTCTTTTTGTTGTGAGCAGTTAGTCCACTTGAGTCCAGCTTGGTTGAGAAGAAGGTTCTCACCATTACCAAGGGGATAGTATGGAGCTAGCTCGTCTGGGAAGTAAGACGCGAAGGTAGGGCCTAGAGTAGCCTTAGAGACAGAGCTTGTGTTGGGCAATAGGGTTGAACCAAATTTTAGAGGAACGATATGTGCTCTGATAGGGTCTGGGAAGCAGAGTAGGTATTCATTGTTCTCCTTAGATGGAGATGGTTGAGATTTTTTCGGCGCCATGGCTTAGGGTTTTGTGGTGCTCTGGTTTTGAACGGCAATGCTTAAGAAGAAGGAGTACAGTCTGCGCATCTCATTG